CGAGCTGCCCCCAGAGATCCGGGTGATTCCGGATCTCCCCTCCTTCCGCCGCGCCCTCAAGACATGGCTGTTTCAGCTGGCAGGACTGGCCTAGGGATATTTTAAATTGGATTTTAATCAATTTTTAAAATAAGAAAAGGCCTATTTAAATATATCTTTTAATTTATTTTAAATTTTGTATATTTGTATTAATTGTTCTTTTTTAACTGGCTGTAAGCCGCCCTGAGTCCACCAGGAGAAGGGCGGGATATAAATACAATAAACTTCAAACTTCAAACTTCAAACTAGTCCAACCCCCTGTTCAGGCAGGAAACCCTATACCATTTTGGACAAATGGCTGTCCAGTCTCTTCTTAAAAACTTCCAGTGTTGGAGCATTCACTGCTTCTGGAGGCAGGTTGTTCCACTGGTTAATTGTTCTCACTGTCAGGAAGTTTCTCCTTAGTTCTAGGTTGCTTCTCTCCTTGATTAGTTTCCATCCCTTGCTTCTTGTCCTGCCTTCAGGCACTTTGGAGGATAGCTTGACTCCCTCTTCTTTGTGGCAGCCCCTGAGATATTGGAACACTGCTATCATGTCCCCCCCTCGTCCTTCTCTTCGTTAAACTAGACATACCCAATTCCAGCAACCGTTCCTTATTTGCTCAACTATTGAAAGCTGGAGATAGATTGAACATAATATTGAGGAGGGCAACCTATTTAAAAGGAACAGCTGGGTGAGTAAGTATTTGCAAAATACTAGTATTCTGCTTAGTAAATTATTCTTCAAAGGCAGAAAGAAGATGTGTTAGAACTCCTACAAAATTGTATCAAAATGAGATTGATGGTTTTTATAGTCCTCCTTTCTTTCTCCACCTGTACAAAACTGTATAGTAATATACCAGAAAGTGCATTTTGAAAGCATAAGATATGAATCTACACTTAGTTTTACACACAATTTCCATTTCAATATCTCTCGATTTGCAAGTAAAATCCCTACTGAAATGTTATACACAGCACCCAACACTTCAAGATACATTTAGAGGCTGAAATCCAAGCATCTACCTCCATCTGAAATCACATTCATTTTTTTTTTTAAAAAGGAGCAAGGAATTGTCAGAAGGATGATTGTATTTGTTACAAAGATGGAAAAAGAAAATATATATCAATTTTCATGGAAAATAGCCACAAGAAGGCAGGTTAAATAGATACCAATGGTTGCTTTAAATCATGTGGGATTAGCCATCCAATAGATCACTAGATATACAAGTTCTACATAGTAAGGCATAATAAAGCACCAAAAGGCAAGGCAATAAACAATGGATGGAAACTAACCAAGGAGAGAAGCAATCTAGAACTAAGGAGAAAATTCCCAAGAGTAAGAGAAATCAACCAATGAAATAGCTTGCTTTTGAAGTTGTGGGTGCTCTTTAAGAAGAGACTGGACAGCCACTTGTCTGAAATGGTATAGGGCAGGGGTAGGCAACCTCGGCTCTTTTATGACTCGTGGACTTCAACTCCCAGAATTCCTGAGCCAGCCTGGCTCAGCTTGGAAACCTCTCCCTTTCCCCTCAGCATGGCTGGCTCAGGAATTCTGGGAGTTGAAGTCCACCAGTCATAAAAGAGCCAACGTTGCCTACCTCTGGTATAGGGTCTCCTGCTTGAGCAGGGGTTGGACTAGAAGATCTCCAAGGTCCCTTCCAACTCTAGTATTCTATGTTCTAATAAATGAATGTTCTATAAACAAACAATTCATTGGAGAGTCAGGCAGCATACACATTTTATACATTATTTGTTCACAGCAATGTGAAATCACAGCTGTTGGATTTCATACTCACAGAGTTCCTCCCAAGAATCTAAGATGTTGTAATATATTAGCATAGCATATGTGTAGATGTTAACTAGGCCTTACCTACAATCATTGAAGACACAACATGGGACTGGGTTTGATTTTTTTTAACTGCAGGCCACCAGCTCACCCTTCTTGGAGCAGCCCCTTTCCATTTCAAGGTTGTTTTTCCTCCATTTAGGGTGGGAAAGCCCAGAAAGCCTTAGTCATGCAGATACCTCTTGGTGGTTTATAACAGGAGCCCCCAACCCTGGGGCCATGGACCGGTAGTGGTCCTTGGCCTGTTAGGAACCTGGCCGCATAGATGGAGGTGACCGGCAGGCAAGTGAGCAAAGCTTCATGAGTATTTACAGCAGTTCCCCAGCGCTAGCATCAATGCCTCAGCTCCACCTCAGATGATCAGGCATTAAATTCTCACAGGAGCCAGAATCCTATTGTAAACTGTGCATACAAGGGATCTAAATTGTATGCTCCTCCTCCCCCCCACCCCGGGTCTGTGGAAAAATTGTCTTCCATGAAACCGGTCCTTGGGGACTGCTGGTTTATAATATTAGTTCTACAAAGTCTTTGTCAGTTTAAAATAATGAACAAACATGCTCCCTCCAATGCAATATAATTAAATACAAAGAATGAATACAAAGGGCAAAGCTAATGGGTGATTGACCACAAGGAAGATGCTTTTGTCTAAAGTATTTTCATAGAAACACAAAGGTGTGAGGTTTTAAAAAATAATCTAAAAAGAGAGAAAAAATAAATTTCTAATCAATAAATATACTTCTGCATCACTTTGCAGTTGAACTTCTTTGTACAAAATTGTTAATTAAAAAAATTCTTTGCAATTGTTCCCTCCCCCAAAGCCAGAGTAAAATTGTTTTCAAAAACCTGTACACACACACAAAAAAAAATCAAAGATATGGAAGGCCACAGCTGTGGAGATATGAAGTGCTATTCCACACCAAATGAATTGGAACAAAATAAGTACAGCGACTGTTATGCTGTTCATTTTGGCTCCATCTTTTCAGTAGCACAATCTAACTTGTCACTTTATATTGATTCCATCTGTTTACACTCTGCAGTGGATTGGCTTCCTATGGTGAATGTTTCCTATTTACCAGCTGGTAAAGATGGGCCAAACCAGATAGGAAAGAATTAGATTATTTTCAAATCCCCATAAACACAAAATGAAAAGGAAAAAAAAGAACTTTAGAATGGAAAAGGGATGGAAACCATTTTTCCCCTTTTCATTTTCTCTCAGCCTGCTTTGTGTTGTTCTGGCAATTGAAAAAAGCCCTTATGTTGGCAGAAAGATGTTTACACCTTAACATACTGTTATTTATTGCATATGTGAAGTCCCTGTTGAAGTGATGCTAATGAGATTCCTGATGCTGGATTTTTTAAAGAAGGAAAAGGAGGCTGCATTTTAAACCAAGCTTGTTCTGTTCTGTAACCCAGAAAGCTGAACAAAGCTCTCTATACCATTGTTCCTCAACCCTGACAACTTTAAGATATATGGACTTCAACTCCCAGAACTTCCTAACCAGCATACTTTAAGATGTATCACATGGGTGTCAAACTTGATCACGTCACGTGATGTATCGTGACGTATCGCGATGTTTTTTGCCTTTGCAGAGCTGGGGTGGGCGTGACGCACCTGGCCCATGGGCCACCAGTTTGACACCCCTGAGGTATCGACTTCAACACCTAGAATTCCCTAGCCAGCATATTGACTGGGGAATTCTGGGAATTGAAGTCCACATATGCTTAAACTTGTCAAGATTGAGAAAATTGCTCTAGACCAGGGGTGTCAAACTGTTGACCCACGGGCCGGATGTGTCACGTAGAAGCTGTGCCCACGCCAGCTCCGGCAAGGGGAAAAAGTCGCGATATGTCGCAACACGTCACGTGACGCGGCGAGTTTGACAACCCTGTTCTAGACACTGAGGTTTCTTCAAAGTTCTGCTCAATTTCTAAGTTTGCCTCAGTGTTCAAGGGTAGAAAAACAAGGTGCCAGATAGATAATTTAGGTTGGGATAAAAACAGACAAATCCAGGGGGCAAGCATCAACAAATTCTTAAGCCTCTACTTCCTTCAGAAGAACTGGGATTGCCTTTAAATTATAATTTTAATAAGACAGAAGATTGAAGATAGAGATAGATGATTGATAGATAGACAGACATACTGTATTCACACACACACCAATATTAAGACAGAGCCAAGTTGACCCCAGGAAACTTCTTAAATATTGTTTTCATGGCAAAAATACAGAAGAACTGAGTGGCCATTTTCTCACTCTGATCTGCAATCCTTCCTGTTCCCGTTCTAATCAGAACCACAGATTATAGATTCACAGAATTCTGGAGTTCAAAGTTCATCTAATCCAATCCTTTGCTGACTTTAGGTTTCACTAGAGCATCTCTGACAAGTAGCCACCCAGCCTCTAAAGAAAATGGGAAACTAGCAAAGAAAATATTGTCACTTCATGTGGCAGCCTTGTCACTGAGCAACAAAGCACACATGATGTCTACCCTGAACTTTCTTCCTTGGAGTTTTAATCCTTTTGTTCTGGTCATGCCCTCTGGAGCAATAGGGAATTAAGTTCTGCCCCTCTTCCGTGTGACAACTTTTCAGATATTTGAACACTGTTCTTATGCCACCTCTTTACTTTTCTCTTTCATAAGCTATACATCCCCAAATCCTGTAACTGTTTCTAATAAGGCTCAGTTTCCAAATCCCCTACCATCTTGGTTGCCCTCTTTCAATTACTTCCTTCACTTCACTCTATAATATTGCAAAATTGAGGAATCCCTAAATTCAAATTAAAACTGAAAGTTCCAGTTTAGACGCTGCTGGATTGGGGAAGTCTCCAGGGCAGAGTTTTGGTCAGTTAGTGGGAGCCATCGTCTTGACTTTTTTGTTCCCCTCCCTGTGGACCCTCCAACTGTATCTGTTCAGAGCTAGGAGAATTCTGCCCTCTTTTTCACTGTGAGAAATCCAAGCAGGAGGAAGTAATAGCCACAAGCTATTTCCATATTTTTTCCAAGAATTTGACATAGACATGTCCATGCAGTACCAGGCCTACTGGTTAATGATCATAATAATGTTATTTGATTTGCAACCATCAGGTGTGGGTTATTTTTATTCATTTATTAAGTGAATGGTCACTTCAACCCTTGGAAAATAAATAAATGATGGAAGTACCCAAGTCCTACCCCTGCCTACTTTTTCATTTATATCTTTGCTCTTTTTCCATAAATATGTGGATAACTAAAGCTAGGGGTTTAACTATACTATATATGAGCTTTACCTCTGAGTGTCCCCCAGAAACACAGGCTCTAAAAATTAAAACAGTTGAATCAGGTCTTTGAAGGATATTTTCAGTTCATGAATGTTGCAACTCAGTGGCGACTCTGCTGCTTCGTTCATCTTTAGAGCCAAACTGAAGCACAACACAGCAGGAACAGCCATTGAAGCTCTGAGTGATGATGAAGAGGCTTCATTGCTGTGATGAAAGCATGTCTTGGCTGCAATCTGTCTTGACAGCTCTGTAATATGCAAATAGCTCACAGTCTTGCCAGAGACAGATGCCCTTCACCAGAGACTATGTCTGGCACCTGGTAGAAAGCCACCTGGATGGTGCCAGGGTGCAAAGGCCAGGCTGCAACAACAGCTTCAGGTTAGACTGTGCTTCAAACAGCTCTGAGAAACCACCCCTGATCAGGAGGACTAGGCCAACACGAGGAATCCAGACTGAATGAAGTGCAATTCAGACATTTTACTATTGGCAATGAGTACCCTATTCCAGGGATCCAGACCTCATTTTCTAAAGCAGTGTTTTCTCAACCTTAGCAACTTGAAGATATGTAGACTTCAACTCCCAGAATTCCCCAGCTAGCCTTGAAGTCCAAACATCTTCAGACTGCCACAGTTGAGAAACACTGTTCTAGAGCAGTGGTTCTCAACCTTTTTAATGCCGCGACCCCAACCGGTCGTAAGTCGAGGACTAAACCGGTCGTAAGTCGAGGACTTTCCCTGCCCGGGAGTGCCGCACATGCGTGGTTCTGCCCCCTGCGCCGGCCAAGGCGTAGCTGGCAAGCGGCAGAGACGGAGCAGGCCAACCACCAGCTGGCCCAGCCCAAGGGAGGTAAGGCACTCGCTGGAAAAGGGGAAAAAAATGGTGGACAAAAAAATGGCGGAGAAAAAAAATGGCGGACAGCCTTGCTTGGCGACCCCCATGAAATGGTCGATCGACCCCAAATGGGGTCCCGACCCACAGGTTGAGAACCACTGTTTTAGAGGATGGCTGTTCTTGAAAAGGATAGAGTGCTGAGGCAGAATATTGCAAAGTGTGGTCAAGAAAGTCAAGATGGCAGTGCAATTGAAGCTCTGCCTGTTTTTCATGGGCATGTAACTTGTCTTTTTTGGTTCCATCCTGCAGACACTCCACTCTTGCATAATCCTCTCCCAGATCTGCTGAGAATCTCTACAGCTGATGGAAATTCATGAGGGACTGGTCTCTCCCTTAGCACTTAAGACACCAAGGATCATCAAATGTAGGAGAAGAAAGGCTATGAATCCTTCACTGTCTCCAAAAAAATGCATGGGGATTGCCCTCTGCTCTCTCCTGAGATTGGGAGATCGGTAACAAGAGTGCCTGCCCTTGGATTTGAGAGCAAAAAGTTTTGCAAAGGGTCCCTTCTGTGAGGCCCTTCTGAGTTACAACTAACTCGTGAGATTTGCAACATTGGGAGTCCTGTTCAACATGGAAGTCATTTGTAGGATGTACCTTCTCTCGTAATAGACACTCCATCTGGCTTAAGGTCCTGGTTCGGCTTTCTCGGAGATTATTCCACCTGAAAAACCAACCAGAAATTAAAGTCACTCGGGGTTTTTTTTTTATCAGGCCTGCCCTCTTACAAATGGTTTTAGCTGGGGATGAAAATAGAACTGTCAGCTCCTGGTGGCCTGGTCAGTGGGGAGCAATGGGCCACAGCTGCTTCTGAGGAGGAATCTAGATCAGGAACCAGGAGACTTACAGGGAATTGTTTAAATCTTCCTTTTTAGTTTTAGTTTGAACAGCCAAGAAAGAAGAGAGAGGAATTCTGCCACAAAGCAGAGAATATAAACCTCTGCACCACATAATTTCCTTCATTTAAATCATCCCCCTCTTCGGCAGCACAGAAGAAAATAGAATTATTTGTCCGAAATGGTGTAGGGCAGACATGTCAAACACAAGGACTGGAGACCGGATGCGGCCCGCGAAGTGATTTCATGTGGCCCGCGAAGCCATCCTGGAAACAGTGAGGGAACGGCTCCCACTGCCTTGGCCCTGGCCCTGGCCCTGGCCAGCCAGGAGCCAATGTACAATTTTGTGGTGACCATCTATGCTGAAACGCATTCAGTCTTAGCTCCATAAGTCCCCCCACCTGCATGGCCTGAGAGGAACAGTGAGGCTCCTCCAGTGGACCATGCCTTGGCGCTTGCCCCGGTCCCACCCCCTTCTGCCAGAGACCCTCAGATCTATCCCACTCCTGCCCAGGCCCCCACAGGCACCCTTGACGCGAACGATGTAGAGCTGGCCACACCTACCCAGTAAGCCACACCCACTCCATCCATGCCCACCCAGTAGACTGCACCCACCCTGGCCACACCCACCCGGCCCCCTGAGGGCAACCGTAATGCTGATGCGGCCCTCAATGAAATTGAGTTTGACACCCCTGGTGTAGGGTTTCCTGCCTGAGCAGGGGGTTGGACTAGATGACCTCCAAAGTACCTTCCAACTTTATTATTATTATTATTATTATTATTATTATTATTATTATTATTATTATTATTATTATTATTATTATTATTATTATTATTATTAGATGCTGAATAAACCTAAATATCTCTCCTCCCAGCTCCCCCTGTCTGTCTAGCAGCTTTTAATGTTGGTTTGCAGATGAGCAAAGAGCAATGCAAATATGCTCTAAGGCAGGGTTTCTCAGCCTTGGCAAGTTGAAGATGTGTGGACTTCAACTCCCAGAATTCCCCAGCCAGCATGAAATCCACACAGTTCAAGTCACCACGTTTGAGAAACGCTGCTCTAAGGATTTATTTCTACACAGTGTCACCAATTATGCGGCATTTATGAGGACTGTGCAACACTTCAGAGGTTGCTTCAGACGACAGGAGGCACAAAGATTCATACCTTTGTGCCACATCTCAAAGCCTTTGCGCCTTGGGGAAGAAGTGCTGGTTTAAGTGCTGCCAATGTCCTTCAGCCAGTTTGGGGAAACAAAACAACTGAAGCACAACATTAACAGCCCTGAATTTTATTTTAGTTTTAGAAGGTCATTGTTCAGGTCAGAATCCTTCCGTAGCTCACCTCCTCAAACATCCCGACACAGGAAAGGGAGAAAGAGCATTTTACTTTCCCAACAGCAATATATGAATGTAGAATATATTACAGAAAGCAAATTTCTTTGTGGCTTTAATCATATGATCAGGAGACTATCTTGGTTTCCGGACCCTACCTTGGTGAATCTAAACCATTGGAGGTCTTTAAAGAGGAGAATCATACAATAACAATAACAGAATGACAGAATAACATAGCTGGAAGGGACCTTAGAGGTCTTCTAGTCCAATCCCCTGCTCAGGCAGGAAGTTCTGTACCATTTCAGACAAATGGTTGTCCAATCTCTTCTTAAAAACTTCCAGTGTTGGAGCACTCACAACTTCTGGAGGCAAGTTATTCCACTTGATTAATTGTTCAAAGTGTCAGGAAATTTCTCCTTAATTCTAGTTTGCTTCTCTCCTTGATTAGTTTCCATCTGTTGCTTCTCCTGCTTTCAGGTGCTTTGGAGAACAGGTTAAGTTCCTCTTCTTTGTGGCAACCCCTTAGATATTGGAACACTATCATGCCCCCCCTAGTCCTTCTTTTCATCAGACTAGACATACCCAATTCCAGCAACTGTTTTTTATATGTTTTAGCTTCCAGTCCCCTAATCATCCAGGTTGCTCTTCTCTGCACTCTTTCCAGAGTCTTGGTTTCTTTTAGAAAAACCTAGTGGTTTTTACACTGGCTTTAAATCCACAGAAAATATGTCTGCTGATTGTAGCTAACTAAAACAGCCCAGATGAAAACTATAATCTGAGAGAGCCAGTGTAGTGTAATGGTTAAGAGTTGGACAAGGCCTGGGAGACTCAGATTCAAATCCATCCTCAGCCACGGAAGGTTATTGGGTGATATTCAGTCATGGAATGAAAAGTGCTAGGTATGTTGCATTTAGATGAGATTTAAGTCCACCAAATAAATATTGATGGGAGATAAAGACCACCCAGTTCTGCTTGGAAATATGAGGCAGTATCTGACTGGACATGCTGGTCTTTCAGTCTTGGCCAGAAAAGCAGGTCTGTTGTGTACATGGAGTTTCTGCTGAAAACCGCAGCCCAAGACAAGTGTTGCCTTCCACTTCATTTGCCCAGTTTTGCTTATTGCTGCTGTAAGTAAATGCTGTTTACACTGGTGGCCTTATACTTTGCTATTCATATTTTGCTATTTTGATTCCTCTGTTACTTAAAACCACAAGAAATAAACTGAACCAACATCCTTACTTTGCACTGAGACTACTGGTGGGCCTCAAGAACATTGACAAGAACTCAAGATATGGAACTGTAACTCTGGTAATTCCTGGAACCTGTTTCAATTTAAAAAAAAGTTGATTACTTTAAGATAATGTTTCAGCATAGTGGAGAATGATTATTTCCATCCCTTCTCATTCTTCCTTTCGGTAATACATAATTAAAAGCATAATCACCTTTCTTCGGTTATATGTTTCCAAAGAAATAAGTTCATCAAAGAGTTAATATTCTTGCATCAAAATATTTCCAATCTCAAATGCTCTCAATATTATCTATCAAATTATTTCAAATCCTATGCAGGTTTCTGGTGGATTTACCTTATTATATTGACGTACTGCTTCTATTTAATAAGAGTATTGATTCAGCTAGAATTCTTAACATTCATTCCCACATAGTGTCATGGCCCACTTGAAGTCCCGTTTGGAAGAGGAGGGGGAGGAGTTGGAACTGGAACCATAGAGACGGCACGTCTCCCTTGGCATGAGTGGAGAGGCCAGGGGCTGACGACGATGCTATCCTAGACCCCCCCAGGCATTGGGGGAGGCGGTCGACTGGATGGAGAGCTGCCTGCCTTCACAGACCCAGGGGAGGATCAGCCGCTGATAGGCCATGGTGCTGACAGGCAGTAGATCTCCTCTGAGGAGGAACAGATGCCTCTCCCACTCGATCCAAGGGCACGGAGAGTAGAGTGGAGACAAGCTCAGAGAAGGGCTGCAAAGTCGCCCCACCTCTCCTCACAAGGAACACCCGAAGTGGACTGATTTAAGGAGAAGCCGTGGGGAGTTAGTCTTTGCCAGGAACAATTGTTTGTTTTGGATTACACTCCCCCGGCTTTGACTCCGGCCTTTTGCCTTGCTTCGAGGACTGCTTTTCACCTTTGCTTTGAGGACTGCCATTGGTCTTGCCCTTGCCTTGTGGGTTGCTTTTGCCCTTTGCTTTGCTTTATCTTCAGAGCTGCCTTTGCCTTGTACCCTATCTTTGGCCTGAGGACTGCCATTTGTCTTATGCCTGGACTTCGCCTTGGGGACTTTCCTGGTGTCGTGATTCCGTGCCAGCCTGTGTTCCCAACAGCTGAGTCTGAGGAATCTGAGGAGGAGGTGGAGGAGGCATTTGAAGGGCCATCAGGGTCAGAGGGAGGCTCTGATGAATTACAGGACTCACAGCTTGATGAAGAGCCTGGGCCCTCCAGTCGTGTTCCTGATGAAGCTCAGCTGTGTGAGGGGACTGAGTCAGACTCAGACGACGCACACCTGATGGACTTGCTAATTGATGCTCGCGCGCGCAGGCAATTAGCAAGAGTAAATCAACAGCAGTCAATGGGACAACTCCAGAGAAAACGGAGAAGGCACTGAGAGGCAACGCCTTGGAACTGCTGTATAAAAAGAGGAGGTGTGGGCGGTGCTGGTTGCTGAAGGCAACCATTTGTAAGAACTTCCAGGGATCATGGTCCGATGAATGTTTTGTTTAAACTCCTGCTCTGCCTGATTTTTTAACCAATTATCTGTTGGAAAAGTATTCTGTTGTTTTTGTTTTTGAGCAAATTTATCAGGACTGTTTTTGTAATAAAAAGGGGTTGGTTTTCCCAGCCTACTGTTAAAGAGGGGTTTGTTTTTGTGATGCAGCAAAGACGGACGTAGGCTGGGACAGAACACCTGGTAATATATGAGCTGCGGTTTGGGGATCTGAGGGTGGCTGCCTTCAGGGTAGCGTGGGGTGGAGCCTTACTGGCTGCTGGAGGGCCATTTGTTGAAAACTCCTTGAGGGCAATAAAGGACTCCCTAAAGGCCTGCCTTCCCTTGACCACCTGAATCATAACACATGCTATTACATCGGGAGATCACCAGAATATCTCAGGCCTAAAGATATTATACATCACCTTATGCCTAGCCATTATTTTATTACTATTTCCTGCAGATTTGATTTGTTAATTAAGTCATCATGATTATCTGTGATTTCTTTAGTGGAATGTAGTCAGCAAATGCTTTACTGAATTGACTTCAATAATACAAATACATTTATGTGCAGCAGTCATGAGAATACATACCTTTGCTAGCACCACATTAAACTGCTCATCTGTCAGAGGTAAAATAAATGTTTCAATCACTCTTCTAAATTCACCCTTAGTGATCTTCAGTGTCTGATCAATATCAATAATCTGAAATGCTTTTTTGATTTCATCTTCTTTTGCAATTATTTTCTGAAGCAAAATCTGCTCAATAACATCGGACGACAGTGTGGAATCAGGTACAGAGTTGACAGAAACAGCTGCAAAAGACAGCACGGGTTATAAAGCCTTCTTAAAAATAGATACAAATGAAATATAAAGTTTAAGATACAGAGTGGAATGCAAACCTTTCTGAATTCAAAACCGATGTTTCAAGCTCAAAACAGGTCTTTGTAATCTTGCTGAAAACTTTTCAACACAGTTCCAAGCATTTTTGAGCTTGTAAAGCTTTGTGTGGCGTTTAGACAGTTCTTTGAAGCTTGAGGTGGCCCATTCTTTTCTCAGAACACTTTCAAAATATGGGGGGAGAGGGAGGGAAATAGCTGATTCACACTTTGAAAGGACGGTTTCAGGCATAAAAAGTTTGTTATGAAATATATGGCACACCTGTAAAGTCCAAGGATACTGTATGTCGGAAGCTGTTTTATTGTCTATTATCCAGAATATTGTTTTAAATAACAGTCACCCAACTAATCAGGAGGAACTTAACACTTAAGCTGCCTTCTAGCGATAGTCATTAGCTTTTAGCATTCATAAGGTATACCCCAGTGGTGGCGAACCTATGGCACGTGTGCCAGAGGCGGCACTCAGAACCCCCTCTGTGGGCACGCACACCATGCCCCGAAGATGGCAACCGTCCCTCTTCAGCCAAGTCGCCGAGGTCCCAAATGGCTGGATGCATCCCAGCACCCATGGGCTCGCTGGCCTCTGTGTGCAGGGGCCGATGGTGTCAGGCAGTAGCTGCCCCGGCCCCTGCCTCACCTTGCCCTGTGACAATGGCACCTCCGCCCTGCCTCACCTTGCCTCGCCTCTCCCCGCAGGACGAGCCTCCTGCCCACCGCCCCACCTGCCGGAGGCCCCCTGGATCTCCCCCAACCCTGCCCGGCCCCCACAGGTGTCCCTCCCCACGAGCAACAATGAGGAGATCACGCCCACCTTGGCCACACCCACCCAATCTGCCATGACCACCACAGCCATGCCCATCCAGTGGGCCACGCCCACCTGGCACCCGGCGATAAATAAGTGGGTTTTGGGTTGCAGTTTGGGCACTCGGTCTCTAAAAGGATCGCCATCACTGGTATACCCTTTCTAAATGCAAACGCTCTGTTTCTCCAATGTAGCTAGGAAACTTTTCAACTGATGCAACACTCCTTGTGACCATTGGCGATGTCTCCACAGTGAGTCCACAAAGTCTTGAAGAAATGTTATGATTTAAATCTTGAGTAAGGTTTTGGGGATCTGGGGCCACGGTCCGTGATCACAAAAGGTATTTAAAGGGGGTCCGTGGTGAAGAAAAGCTTGAGAACCCCACGGCCCTAAGGCAGGACCATTGCTGGTTGCAAATGCTTTCCCCAGCAGGGAAAGTTCGATCTGAAATATTTTGCCTGTTTGTGCCTGAAATTTGGAACAGAACCATCAGGAAGGTCCTTACTTGAGTCAGATTGGGTAGAGCTTTCACTGCTGCTCTTGCTGCTGGTGCTGCTCCGTGTGGAAGATCGCCCTGATGAGTTGGACTGGACTCTGGCATTGAAGACAATCCCGTGGGACTGAGGGCATAACGTCTTGTAATCACATGCATTCACCACTCTGGACATTGTTCCTGCAAGAAATAAGGGGGAACAAAGAAAGAAGTAGAAGAAAGAGGCCTCTGCTTGCTGCTCAAGAGCTGAGGGGGCATAATGCAATGGGGGAAAGCTGGAAAAACCCACTAGAGAAAATTAAGCAAGCCATCCAAAAAGAAGGCCACTACAGGTAGTCTTCAAGTTTACAACCATAATTGAGCCCACAGATTCAGTCATAAGTTGTGAGGTCATAAAACGTGTCACCACATGACTGGCCAGACTTTATGATCTTTTTTCAGTGGTTGTTAAATGAACGCCGCAGTAAATCTCAGTCACATGACTATGGGGCACTGCAAATGACCATAAATGAGGACCGATTGTTTAACGACCAAAGTGCACCACATGACCTGGGAGTAGAAAGGCCCATACTTCAGAACTTTTCAACTGATCATAAGTCCCATTTTTCATGATCGGTCATAAAAAATGGCCGATAAGCAATCAGTCTTACGTTGAGGACTACTTCAGCGCTAGTAAAAAGGAACAGGGTGGTTTCAAACCTCCTTTTAGAGACACACAATCTTCCAGGGACAGAGCGTTCCAAAGCAGAAAAGTTGTTGTGGTTTATCTCAAAGGGAACTGACGGAGACCCAGGGTTGCTGCTTTATGTGCTAGTGTACAAGTCTGAAAATGTACAGGGGTGCAGATGGATCAGTTCAAGTGGTACCTTTGGCGACCCATATAAAAATTTTCCCCACACCAAAGAAGCCTCTGAGAGAGAGGAAGAAACATAGGCAACCACAGTCTGTTCTCTAATTTCTGTGGGGTTTTTTTCATGGAAAACCACCCAGGATGTATCTTAGGGAAAATATACAGAAAAGTGCCATAAATGTATTCCTCCAGCTGAAATAGCAGATGCAGAGAGATTCTGAGTGCTTCAAAAGTAGTTAAAACAGACAGCATGGCTGGCTGGGGAATTTGGGGTTTGAAGTCCACCCATCTTAGTTGCCCAGGTTGAGAAACACAGAGTTAAAGAATGTAAGCAATCATAGTCACAATGTGTCTATTATTATTTATTATTTATTAAATTTATATACCGCCCTGACTACACAGTCCAAGCCCTGCTGCTTTTTTTTTTAACTTGTATTATAACTGCCTTGACCTCTTTGACCCCTCCCTATAAATGCTTCTGGACCCACCTTTCCTCTTCCATTTCATCCTAGATCCTGTCCAGCTTGCTTCCATTAAAAACAAGGAAATAGAGAAACCAATTATGAAATCATGTCTTTTTTTTTCTCAAATATGCCCGACGTTTAGCGGGTTTTTTTTCTTCCTATTATTAAATAAATACTTGTACTGCTACTTAATTTTCTTTTAAGTTTATTTTCTTTGCTTTTTAAAAGATCTTTAGTCTTGTCCATTCAAATTTCCTGACAGTGAGAACAATTAATCAGTGGGATGGCTTGTCTCCAGAAGTTGTGGGTGCTCTATTACTGAAGATTTTTAAGAAGTTATTTATTTATTTATTTATCCAGAATGATACAGGGTCTTCTGCTTGAGCAAAGGGTTGGATTAGAAGACCTCCAAAGTCCCTTTCAACTCTGTTATTCTGTATTAATGTCATTCCCTTTAATGTGTCTATCATGAGTCCAGCATAGGATTCTTGAAAATCACCTTGGATATGTCACTCTTACAGCATCATACTGGGGGGGGGGGGGAAATCATTGATGGTCTGCAAAGATGACTTTTTAAACTGCATATTTATGAACCTCCAAAACATATTACTGACATTTTAGAACAGCAGTCTTCAAACTTGGCCCTTTTATGACTTGTAGACTTCAACTCCCAGAATTCCTTAGTCAGGCACGCTGGCTGAGGAATTCTGGGAGTTGAAGTCCACAAGTCATAAAAGGGCCAAGTTTGAAGATCCCTATTTTAGAATGAATTGGTCTATCACAGACATTTTTTTCCAGTGCAACCCTCCCTGATAGCAAAGTAGCCCCGGCTCTGCAACAAACAGTTATTTTTCATTATATAAAAGATGTGATCGTCAAACTCACTGCCATTCATTCATTATCCTATATTAATTTATTAAAAGTTTATCCATCTTTCCATTAAATTGCTCAGAGGAACATTCATGGATTCTCTGTAAGAACCCTTGAGATGGAAGCAGTCTCTGAGGTCCAGGCATGCAATTCCATGCACAGAGCAATCCTCATGGACAACTTGGGCCGATCCCAGGAAGGGGAGATTCCCACTTCTCAGACAAATGGATTCCTTCATCAAACTCCTATTCCTAGGACCTTTTTTTCATGACATGCCTGCAAAGAAGGTAAGGCTGTGAAACTTTCTGGTCTGAGGCCACTACCAACTTACTTTTTTTTAATAATTTTATTCAAATACAAATAATACAAACATAATATATATCTATGTCAATAAAAAAATATACAAATATTACAGTGAACCTAACCCCCTGGAGACCATTTTTTATTACCTATATTTCTTTTCATATAACAATATACAATATATTTCAATTGTGCCCTTATCTGCTCCAAAACAGCATATATTCTTGAGTAGGATTATTCCCTTTACCCTCCACCAACACTATTTTTATAAAAGCCTCCCATATTTCATTATAATTATTTACTTTAATCATCCTTTTTTTAAATTTAATTTCTGTTGTTAATTTATCATTTATTGCCATATTTCATATTTCATTATACCACTTCATTTCTTTGAAAAACCCAATTCCGTCTCCAGTACTTAACTATCACTAATCTAGCTGCCTTTATCAAATTTACAATCAATTCCTTTTTTGCTTCATTTATGTCTTGTTTTTCCACCAGTAACAGTAATGCAATCCTTGGTGACATGTCTAAATTTACATTCAAAAGTTTAAGTTCTTCCTGGCAGAAGAAAACAAGATGTTCACAAAAATCCGCGGACAGGGACAAAGACAGTGGCTTACAAAGAGACAGTTCAAAGAAGTCAAGATAGTGTGCAAGGGCCAAACTTCAACCGTGGGATCATAGATGCCAACATGAGTTGTTTGACCCCCTCCATATGCCCCTGGAAAGGTGATTAGGTTATAACTGATTGCTTTCACTTTAGTCTCTAAGCCTGGAGAATGAAGTTTTGGATTCTCTGGCTGCAACCATTTGAGGGCTGGGGTGGTGACAACCAGTGTTCCAAATCATACAGGAACGTGCAGGAGCTAGAAGTGTCTTGCAAATGTTCTCTACTTCTTCCCACAATATCCCTCACTTTTCCTTTTATTATTTATTTCCTGTTTATTTTTTATTTAATAACCATATTGTAAACTGACTAGATGCTATTCTTAATTCAAAAATGGGACATAAATATACGATATCAAAGTGGATCAAGTGAAACAGAACATGTTTTATGTACTTAGTTCATTAAACTAAATAGAACTCAGTCCATGACAGAGACGGGCAATTAGTATATCTTGCTCAGACCATGACTAAAATTACAATTGTGGAAATTCTGCATATCTGCGATGATGTAAATGTGCTCACTCAGAATATTTGCACAGGATGTTAAAGGGTTGGTACTTCTAACTATTCTGTAATTTGTTGCTTGTGTAACTTTGCGTGTTCTCCCTGTTTGATTGGTTTCCCTGGGGCGAGTTTGTGGTTCGGCACATTTTGCTTGTTACTGACCTACTTATTATACTGACACCTCACTTTTTTTGCTTCCTTAAAGCCAATGTAGGTTGCGTAAATTCAGAAAGCAGATTAACTTTGTTCACTGGGCAACTGCAAACACAGACCATGGCAATCACACCTTGAGACAATTGGATACTATGCAGAATTAGAGCTGCCTTGGAAAGGTGAGATCAAATTCCAAGATATTTGCTGGACGACCAAATGCTACTTTCTCAAGCTAATCTATCTGGTTGGCTTATAGGAAGCCAGCATCGAGAGCGCGGCTTCTGGGCTGGATGTGGCTAATTCTTCCAACAAGCTTCTGTTTTCTGCAAGAAAACAGAAACTCTCTAGCTTCAGTGTTTCTCAACCTTGACCATTTTAAGGCATGTGGACTTCAACTCCCAGAATTCCACAGCCAGCAATGCTGGCTGTGGAATTCTGGGAGTTGAAGTCCACATACCTTAAAATGGTCAAGGTTGAGAAACACTGCGCGATCTAGCTCTTTTCCCGACGCAGAAGAAACCAACCGTGTTTCTCTTCTTCGCCTCCCTCCTGCGACGTCATTGCCGGCCGAAAAGTACGCAGCCGGCGAGCAGGGTGAGGAGGTTCCCACCGCCAGCGGGGAGAAAAAGATGCTCGGAATGCCCGCGTCCCGCTTGCAAAGTTGCACTTGGCGGCTTCGCTGCCTGAAAGCGCCGTTGCCAAGACGCTGTAGCCACAGCAACGCGGAGCCGCTGCCGATTCGCCGAGAGCTCGCGCAGTTACTTAGCAACCGTAACTCACGGCAATTGCACTCACGTGACTGGGGGAAAAAAAAGGCCTTTCCGCCGGTTCCTCCCCCCCCCCCACCCTCTCCCCGTCCATCCGTGCCCGTCGATCGCGGCGGAAAGTCAGTCAATGGACTCCTCTCTACGTGCAGGGGCTTCCCGCTTTTTTTTCTTTTTCTTTTCTTCCCCCCTGTGGTCGAGTCCTCAGGATTCTTCCCCGTTCAAGGGGCTTTGCTCCTAAGCCAGTGGTTCTCAACCTTTTTAATGCCGCGACCCCCCAACCGGTCGTAAGTCGAGGACTAAACCGGTCGTAAGTCGAGGACTACCCAACCGGTCGTAAATCGAGGACTTTCCCTGCCCTGGAGCGCCGCGCATGCGTGGTTCCACCCCCTGCGCCGGCCGAGGCGTAGCTGGCAAGCGGCAGAGACGGAGCAGGCCGACCACCAGCTGGCCCAGCCCAAGGGAGGTAAGGCACCCGCCGGAAAAGGGGGAAAAAATGGCGGACAGCCTTGCTTGGCGACCCCCGTGAAATGGTCGATCGACCCCAAATGGGGTCACGACCCATAGGTTGAGAACCGCTGTGTGAAAGGACCCCTCGTGC